TATCTCATAATTATGATTTACCAAAGTGTTTTTTTATGTGGCTTTCATATATTTTTTCATATTTGACCTCAGGGGAAAAAAAATAAACAACTAAAACTGTCTCATAATTTCAACTTTTTATGTTACAGTTATATCTCATAATTTTTTACTTTTTTGTCATAATTATGACACAAGTCATATAAAAATACTTTTATATATATATTAGAATATAATTATGCCTTCAGAAAGGTTGAATGTTTTAGAAATTTGACTTATGTCATTAATATTAACTTTTTATCTCATAGTATTGACTTTTTATGTCACAATTATGATTTTATATCTCATAATTTAGACTTATCTCATAATTATGATTTACCAAAGTGTTTTTTTATGTGGCTTTCATATATTTTTTCATATTTGACCTCAGGGGAAAAAAAATAAACAACTAAAACTGTGTGATATAACCTTTTTTTAGGAAAGATGCAGGTCTTTTTGTATGACCTGTCACTTTTGAATCTCTGTGTAATGGAGTTTCTTCAGAATCCACTGTGACACCAGATCTTCCTCTGTGTGTAAGTCAGATCGTCTGTGTTGACATGTTGTGTCTTGTGCTAAAGTAGCGGCAGGGGACAGACATTAAGGCTATGTCTGACAGGTGAAAGTGCTTTAAATGGACTTTCTGTCCTATTACATTAAGTTGACTGTTTTTGGGATATTTCCCTTGTACGCAGCTTGCGTTATGTGGAATTGCAGATTGAATCTCTGTTCATGGAGACCAGGGTAATTCTGGGAAGTTTTGGACACTGTAGGTATGTGCAGATGGCCATCGAGAGGGGCTGGAACAATTCTCAGTGGGAAGAAACATGTTTCGCTCCTGAGGTCTTTGAAGTGTGCGCCCGCTGACTTCAGATGCTGTGATTAAGAGTCAGCAACAGAATATTCAAGATGCAATCAGTCAGGACCTGGTCAGCATTCTATGTGTGCACTTTACATTTTAAAAAAGCGATTACTTTGGAAAAAGTAGTTCATTTCCATTAACTGCATTTGCAACCCTTTTTACTGCCACAATGTGAAACTGTATAAATACAAATAACCATTTTTGTTTACTTTACAAAATCAGAATAACTTTATGATCATCCTCTACACTGTAAAAATTTTTGAATTTGTAAATAACATTTTTTGATTAAAAGTTTATTGGATTATTAAAGTACATTTTACAAGAAAATGCTATTTGAAGAAAATGCTGTTTTTCAACTTAAACATTTCATATTATTTACTTACCATTTCTTTGCATTTGTTTGTGAAATTTACTAGCAATTTTGAGAGAATATTGTTTCTGCACCATTTTTTCATTGTACTGACAAACATAACAACACAGAAAAAAATAAAGTCGACATTATCCTTTAAAAAATTTGAAATGATGTCAGTAAGAAAAGTAGATTTCTGGAATTTTTTTTAATAAGGGATACTTATACAATTTATTTTGTCAACCTGAATCTGAAAAGATGCATAATATACATAACTAAATAGATAAGAGTAGCCATTTTTTCTTAACAAAAAGTGTGCTTTTGCTAATGCAGTGAAAAGAAGAAACAGTTTTTGGGTCAGGCCAAAAAAGATGCTCTTAAAGAAATAGAAAGAGAAAGCATTTGAAAATAGAAGGAAGTCACTATACTTTTGTTGATGTGGTAAGAAAATGCTTTAATAGCACATAGTAAATGATGACATCAGCTGTTCATTGTTAACTTAAAAATTTCATATTATTTACTTACCATTTCTTTGCATTTGTTTGTGAAATTTACTAGCAATTTTGAGAGAATATTGTTTCTGCGCCATTTTTTCATTGTACTGACAAACATAACAACACAGAAAAAAATTAAGTCGACATTATCCTTTAAAAAATTTGAAATGATGTCAGTAAGAAAAGTAGATTTCTGGAATAGATTTCTGGAATTTTTTTTAATAAGGGATACTTATACAATTTATTTTGTCAACCTGAATCTGAAAAGATGCATAATATACATAACTAAATAGATAAGAGTAGCCATTTTTTCTTAACAAAAAGTGTGCTTTTGCTAATGCAGTGAAAAGAAGAAACAGTTTTTGGGTCAGGCCAAAAAAGATGCTCTTAAAGAAATAGAAAGAGAAAGCATTTGAAAATAGAAGGAAGTCACTATACTTTTGTTGATGTGGTAAGAAAATGCTTTAATAGCACATAGTAAATGATGACATCAGCTGTTCATTGTTAAAGTCACATGGTTTTGTATAATGACCCACATGCTGAAGTGGAGCTGTTGTGAGTGTTGTTGCTCCTCCCACTCGCCTCATTATGCGTGATTAGTTGCTTTGGTGACGGGGCACTTTGCAGCGCACAAAGAGAGGATAATCTGACACAAATGGTGGGTTTAAGTATTCTAGTCAGCACAGATTGCACTGTGAGGGGCCTTTTGTTCCACACAATCTGCTGCACAACACAACTATGAAAGTTTGAAGAATCTGAGTAAAGTGTGCAGCCAATGGGTCCACTGCAGTGAAGCAGCGTCCGCACAGAAAGCACACGCTCAGTGCATACTAACTGAGCTGCAGAATATGCTTTATGAGTCTGCAGATGCCCGCTATACTTCCAGATTTCCTCGCTGTCTGTGTGTGTGTGCTGGTTGGCTTGTCTGTCCAGCTATTTTTTGTTGTTTTAGTGAGTATTTTTGCATTTGTTCCATAGAAATAAATCTAGATTTACATGTCTCGCTTCCTTTATTTTTTAGCTTTATTAACAGTCAGCATGACCAAAGCAAATGTGTTTTGCACTTCACTTATTAAGCTTTTGCGTGATGGAAAGTTCTGTCTATTTTGGTTCGACATCTGACGCATCTGTTATCTTTTCCTATTGTGTCCATTTCCTTTAAAATTGTGCATTTGCACTTTTTTTTTGGTGTTTGAACGGGAGCAGCTGAGCTGAGATTTTCCAAATAAACTCAGACCTGCATCATGTACTGAATTCTAGTCCTTACAAACATGGTACAGTAGCTTTACAATGATGCAAGTGCCAGATTGTAGTACTATATTACATTGATACAGTACTATTCAAAAGTTTGGGGTCTGTTTTTTTTTTTAATGATTCTTATACTCAGCAAGACTTAGAAATAAATCTAGATTTACATGTCTCACTTCCTTTATTTTTTAGCTTTATTAACAGTCAGCATGACCAAAGCAAATGTGTTTTGCACTTCACTTTATTAAGCTTTTGCGTGATGGAAAGTTCTGTCTATTTTGGTTCGACATCTGACACATCTGTTATCTTTTCCTATTGTGTCCATTTCCTTTAAAATTGTGCATTTGCACTTTTTTTTTGGTGTTTGAACGGGAGCAGCTGAGCTGAGATTTTCCAAATAAACTCAGACCTGCATCATGTACTGAATTCTAGTCCTTACAAACATGGTACAGTAGCTTTACAATGATGCAAGTGCCAGATTGTAGTACTATATTACATTGATACAGTACTATTCAAAAGTTTGGGGTCTGTTTTTTTTTTAATGATTCTTATACTCAGCAAGACTGCATTTATTTGATTAAAAGTACAGTAAAAATGGTAGTATTATTGGAAAATATTATTACAGTTTAAAGTAACAAGTTTTTTTATTTGAATATATTTTCAAATGCAATTTATTCCAGTGATGCAAAGCTGAATTATCAGCATCATTACTCCAGTCTTCAGTGTAACATGCTTTTCAAGAAAAAAATTCTTATTATCATGTTATTATGTGGTTATGTTATTATTATTATTATGTTGAAAACAGTTGTGCTGCTTTATGTTTTTGTGGAAACCGGATTTTTTTTCAGTATTGTTTGATAAACACTGTAGAATTTCAAACAGCATTTATTTGAAATAGAAACCTTTTGCTACTTTATAAATGTGTTTACTTTAAATTTAATGTGTCCTTGCTGAATGAAAGTAATAATTTCTTTTTTTTTTAAAATCATACTGGCATCAAACTGAACGATCACCATATTTGTAAAAAAAAAAAGCATTTATATTGCCTTTGTGTGTTTCCCTGTGAATATTTCACTGCTTCACCATGAAAAATAAATTTGCATTTACAGTTTATTTTCGTTAGAGCTTCATCTGCTTGCACAGATTGTAGCTTCAGTCTTTCTGTGATTGCAAGTTTGAATGCGCGTGGCACTTCAAGTGTGATGTGAGACGGAAAAATTAGGCGAGGAGAGATAATCATGAAATTTCGAAGAGATAAAGACCCCTCATAAACTAACACTTTACCAATGCTTGTTTAAACATTTCTATTTCTGCTATCCACAATAACTTTATAGCACTGTACTCTTACTGTATATCAATTATTCATTAAGTTGCATCATTTTTTATTTCTCCTACCACATTTTTAGACAAACATCTGCTGTAAACATTTGTGAGAACTTGTTATACTTCATGTATCCCAAACTATGAAAGAGCATTTTCTGAGCCAGAAATTTAAATTCCTCTGGGAATGAAGAGAGGTATTTCTGATGACCTAAAAGCATTTATATGTATTTATTCAGCAGATGATCTAAAGCAACTTATAAGGTAGAATAAGAATGAAGTAGAATGAGAATAATAAAACATTTCTATTTCTGCTATCCACAATAACTTTATAGCTCTGTACTCTTACTGTATATCAATTATTCATTAAATTGCATCATTTTTTATTTCTCCTACCACATTTTTAGACAAACATTTGCTGTAAACATTTGTGAGAACTTGTTATACTTCATGTATCCCAAACTATGAAAGAGCATTTTCTGAGCCAGAAATTTAAATTCCTCTGGGAATGAAGAGAGGTATTTCTGATGACCTAAAAGCATTTATATGTATTTATTCAGCAGATGATCTAAAGCAACTTATAAGGTAGAATAAGAATGAAGTAGAATGAGAATAATAAAGTAGAAGACATTAGAGCAGAAGCATCCGACACACTATAAGGGTTCATTAAGTTCACCGTTCATTTATTCCTCTTCTTTTTGTCCTTTTCCAGCACAAACCTCCTTTTGAAGTCAACGACCTCTTTGAGGACATCAAGGATGGGGTGAAACTGCTGGCTCTGTTAGAAGTGCTGTCTGGACAGAGATTAGTAAGTGTTTCTGTGATGCAATATCTGCAGATTATCTCTCTGTGAAACCTCTGCATTGAGCGCAGCAGCAGCTGGTGTGGCAAAGTCTGTTTAATGCCAAGATGATGGGCTTGATAGAGTCCTTCCTTTCATTTCCCCTCCTGATAAACCCCTCGTACTTCCCTGCAGCCATGCGAACAGGGCCGCCAACTCAAAAGGATCCACTGGGTGTCCAACATCGGCACAGCTCTTAAGTTCCTGGAGGGAAGGAAGGTAACACTCCGGTTATCTCATCTGTCTCACTGAACTGCTCATCTGTCTTAATTATATGGGGATATTCTGTATAACACTCCCTGCTGGGTCATTCCTGTTCTGCAGTACCTTTCTAGCTTTTAAAAATGAGTATGATTGCGCTAAAATTTCAGGAACTCTTTCTAGAAAAGGATATAGCAGACTGTCAGAAATATGCTCAGACAAGGACAAGAAATGAACAGGATGGAAGTTAGTAATTGCTCAGTGAGGAATTGGCAGAGAGCTTACATGTGTAACGCCCCTGTGGACTGTTTGTTGTGGTTTCTTCCCTTTGTGTTGGTTTAGCCCGTTTAATCATTAGTTAATCACCGTCATTGTGCTCACCCTGTCTGCCTCTAATTATTCACCCTATATTAGTTCCTGTCTGTCTGAGCATTGGTGTCGGTTATTGTGAATGAAAAATTATTACAATTTAAAATAACTATTTTCTGTTTGAATATATTTTAAAATTGATATTGTGCTGTAATTTATTCCTGTGATGCAAAGCTGAATTTTTAGCATCATTCCTCCAGTCTTCAGTGTCACATAATTTGATCAATTAAGATAGATGTTTTAGAGTGACATCCTGGAAGAATTCATTAAATGCATTGATAATACTTACGTTACGTATGTCACTTCCATGTCATTAAAGCTGCGTTTAGAAATAGGGATTTTTATACAAGACATGATATGGAAGAAAAACATATAAACTGATCACCAATTACAATAATATATTGTTTTTATATTTAATAGCTATTTTATAAAAAAAAAAATAGATTTAAAAATTATATATATAAAAAAATAAAATTATGTAAAAAGATTTGCTGCTCAAGAACCATGTCTTATTATTATCATTGTTGAAAATTGTTCTGCTGCTTAATATTTTTGTGGAAACCATGATACATTATTTGTTCTTAAGATTATTTGATGAATAGAAAGTGTAAAAGAACAGGTTTCATTTGAAATAGAAATATTTTGTAACATTAGAAATGTCTTTACTGTCACTTTTGATCAATTTATTGCATCCTTGCTAAATAAAAGTATTAACTTCCCCCCCCCCTATTTTTTTTTTTTTACTG